TTTCTACTTATTGAAATGATATTAGATTTAGTGAAGAATATTTTTTTGTGACATTTAGCTCTGAAAATCTTTTTATTTTTGTTTCGAAGAAAAACAAATAGTAATATGAAATTTATTCTTGAATTCAATGATATTTCAAACAATGTTCATAATAAACATTCTTTGTCTTAATTCAAAATTATTCATTTTATATTGATATTCCCTATTTTAATATTCTTATTAATTTTCTCATATGTTTTCAATTTCGTTTCAAATATCATCTTTTGATGTTGGAGAAAAGTTCCGATAAAATCCTATTAAATCAGATATATAACTCATAAAATCGAATGTAGTTATTAAGAAAAATTCTTCGCAACAAAAAAACAACAAACAAATATATTTTTGATCAAAAGTTTACTTTTTCTACAGTACTTTATAAGAAAATTCATATCAAGGTGAAAAAAAAACAGTCGACGTTATTTTATCAAGGTGATTCGAACTGGAGAAAAACCACTGACAGAATCATTGGATATAATTTGCGCTATACCGACAATTAATTGTTGGTACTTGTCAAAAATGGCAAAAAATCGACCGTCGTTTGAGACTTCAACGGTTAGCTACCATCTGATTGCCATTTTAACAGTGGAACATCGATAGTTGTTCTCAGCTTGGCAATATGCTACCGGTATACCGCTGCTTTTTATGCGTATCACTGTACCAGGTGATAGTGTAAACAAATATGTGACATAAGTACATATGAAAAATGTTTACTATTGAAATCAATATTGATAATACATATAGAATTTTATTAAAGAATCATTTCGAATAATTTTTCAATTGAAATCAAATCTAAGATGAACTGATCCACAGTCAGCGACAAAAATTTAAGCGAATTTATTTTTCTCAATTTTTTCTTACATTTGTTTTTTTTTTCAAATTTTATTTCACATTATTAAAGAGTGAGGTCCTGATTGAAATAGTGATATGGATTGTATGAGACGCCGGACTACATGATGCACTTTAATAGGTGGGATCTCTATCTGTCTATATTGACTTTTCATAATGAAAATGATATTTTCACGCAAAAATAGATTTAGATGCTTTCCAGCATTTTACATTTCCTAACCAAGAGATTTGCGCTAAAATGAAAACGAAATAGACCAATCGATAGAAAATTTTACGCCCTATCAGTTTCTATAAACCAATTTTTTCCCATAGTCCATCTTTACTTCCAAAACTTGATTTTAGTGAGAATTGGCAAGACACATGGAAAAGTGAAACACTTCAATTTCCATCGTATTTCAATATATGACTTTTCCAGTTATTTCGACGAGAAAAACGACGTCTATAATTTTGTCAATTAGTTAGCTGTATGGAGTTCAATTTTTTCTTTAAGATGCGACTAAGTTTATCAGCGTCTATCGTCAAACCAACGAGCTTTAAAATCAAAGTCTTGATTTTTGCAATGCCAATGTTTTGAAGTATTTCACTTTTCCATTTGTGGGGTGTGAATGTGGGTGTAGGTGGGTGAGGGTGTGAGTGTGGGTGTGGGTGTGGGTGGGGTGGGAGTGGGGGTGGGGGTGTGGATGTGGTGGTTCATAGAAAAATTTGTTTTGATATACACGTACTGTTATTAGTTTTCTAGAAACAGTTATGTTTATAGATGAATTGAATGTTAAGACAATATAGAAAATCTTTTTGCTTTTTTCTATTCATAAAAAATATTTTTGTTAAAATTTAATATCGATTCAAACTAGGTTTTTTGTTACAAATGTATACGTGAGACTGAAAGGTATTGATAAGAAAAAATAGTGAAGATAGATGTGAGAAAGAACTAAGTTTGAATTCTAAATTATTTTGAAATGTAATGAAATTCAATTTCGTGTGCAATAGATATATATACATACGTATATATAAGTATATACAGGTGTTCTTGTTCATAATATTATTAGACTTTCATATATAGATTCTTTATGAGATTATGAGTGGTATATTATCTACACGTAACTTCGAGAAAAGAAAGACAGAACAATGTCAAGGTGTGGATCACATACAAAAAAGTACGCAATCATCGTAGAGATCGATTAGCTATTTGAATAATCTAACGTATGAAATTTTTTCAGTATCTACGAAACCATTCTCATAGCTATGAAAAAGTTACAATAGTTACGAAATAGTGAAAGAAATATTTCATATTGTTTAAACAGCTATTAGTTTATAAATAGCTAGGGGTTTTTGTATTTAGCTAGGAGTTTTTAAATTGACGTGGTATGTTGAAATGGCTGCGGAGTTTTCAATAGGTGCGCAAACTATAAATAGCTACAGCAAATTTAAATACATGTATGATATTTGAATAGTCATAGGAAACTTCAAGTAGCTAATATTAAGTAGGTGTACGATCATTAAGTAGCTGTAGATCGATTAAGTAGTTGTAGGATGAATAAGTAGCTATAAGATCAATTAAGTAGCTATAGAAGAATATTAAGTAGCTGTAGGTTGATTAAGTAGCTATTAGCCTTTTTCCCAAAAGTATCTCTTTTGAGAAGCTACGTTCAAAAGTGTTACATAGACTCTACAAAAGCTTACGCAAGATCTTATTAGATCGCATATTTTGTTGGAAATCAAAGTCGAAATACAAAAATTCACTCCCAATTTTCAAATGAGTTCTGTTAAATATTTGAATCAAACGAATAATATTCTTAGTGTATCCTAGAAAAATGAGGAGGGATTCTCAAAGTCCGTCAAAATCTGCAACCTTTGATATATAAATTAAATAGAGAAAAAAAACGTGACGCGTTTCGCAAAGTTTCCAAAGCAAAGGCGACTACTATATACATTTTTAATCAAAAAACATATTATTGTTATACATTTTTTATAAGCTTTTTTCTTATGTTAATTCGACAAACCAATATTGTAGTGAAAATTCTGTGCCAGATTTATGTTCAGTATTGAAAGAAGCTCATAAGAGGTCAATATCAATAGTAATACACATATGCGTTTAAAATATATAGCAGTGATTATGTTGAGATCATGTGATAATGTTATTGTTCCCCAGAAAATAGCTCTTCACTGTCTATTATTTATGAACCGATCAATCTCAACTAGATTTAGCAAATGAAATCAAATATTCACAGTTTAAGTATTAGAACATATTATTCACTCGAAATACTGAACAATATACCCGTAGGACTGATAAAGAGTGCATCAAGTGAAACTATGGTACAATGCCTATTGTATTCTGAAACATATCGATCCACTCTGCATTGTATACCAATAGAGATGTCTTATAAGAATCTATCAAATGACACTATCTTTTACTCTTCCAATATTTTTGAAATTCTCATATAATTGATAATCGTTTGGATATTGACGACCTAGTAACTGAGGAATCGTTTCACAACATATAGTGATCTATTCGAAATTATATACCAATCAGTAACTGTTATCGAATTGCGTGGAACAAGTACGAAGTGTTTGTGTGACATTTAGTGGACTCCTTGGATAGACACGATTATTTGCTAAAGAATAACATTGTAGGCATGCACTAAATCCTGTTTTTAGATGATAAAGATGACTCATTTACGATGTCAAGAACTATCAGTTCCTGTCAAATCTTCGAGTGCTCTCTAGTCAACTTTTATTGCTCTATCTGATACTAGTTACAGACATGTCAAATCCTACTATAAAATGTGTAGGAATTGACCAAAAAACGTGAATTTTCGGTCAAATCCTGCATATTTTTCAGTCGGATTTTACATATCTGTAACTAGTATCAGATAGAGCAATAAAAGTTGAGCAGAGAGCACCCGAAGATTTGACAGGAACTGATGGTTCTTGACATCGTAAATGAGTCATCTTTATCACTTCAAAACAGGATTTTGTGCATGCCTATAACATTGAACCACGACTTGTATATTAACCGAAAGATCTTATAAAGATGGGTGGAACGACATCAAAATATTCGCGCAAAAAATGTTAAGAGTATATTATTTTCTTAGAATACATACGAAATTGAAAGAAATCATCAAGGACGCACATGTGCAGATAGAAACATAGGAGTTCTTACTCGTTAGAGTCGTTAAATGCCGTCTTTTCTAATTATGTATGTCATTATGCCGGAGTTAGCTTTTCAAGAAGCTCTAAATTATACTAGGAGTTGACATGCACTCTAAAAAGGTGCTGGGGAGATCTTTCCTCTATTTCGCGAGAGAGAACTGAAAACATTTCTTTTTGCCTCTGAAAGTAAGCTTTTGCTTATATTTTGTTACAGAATTAATATTAAAGACAAAACCTAGCCCAATGTCATAATTGTGAATTTCAACTGTAATATTCTCATCCTGATTCCCTAGTATCTATTGATACCGAAGCGACTGGAAGATATCGTACTTTAATTTCTTGCTACTTCGAAAGACTTTTTCTTAGGAGAAAATAACAGAATTAAGCGATAACTGCTCATAAGAGAGAAGAAACTTATCTTAAATGGATTTTTTACTAAGATGGCAATAGGACAGAAGAAAGAAGCATGTAACTTGTTTTTTTTCTTGTTTTACACAAAGAAAAAGAACAAAAATCGGTAGCATACAATAGTTTATGAGATACAAACCGCAAATGAGGTCTGATAGAAGCAAAACTAAAAATTGACGGCAAGATTCTCTATGTTCGTAGAAAAAGAATAAATAATCACAAATGTACAATATATTTAATAGTTCAAAAGTGTAATAAATACTATAAGTAACAATGGAATTATTACAAGTTCATATTATCTGAGTCGATGTCAAACATAGGAATAGTCATCAGTATACAAACAAACTCCGAGACAAATAAAAACTTGTTATTTTATGATTAGATCATTTCAAAGATCAGTTTTATGCTCTGGGAACATTTGTTTTTCAGAGTTAAGGAACCAATGTTTATCCTATTACATTTTTAAGCAAACAATACATGAATATATGAAATTTTTATAATAATTAAGCATGCATGTAGTCTTAGTACCAAAACTATTTCTGTTCTATTGATAGGTTCTAACCACCACATCCTCCGCCACCACAGCCCCCACCACAGCCTCCACCTCCACTACAACCTCCACCACCACCACAGCCTCCACCACCACCACCACAGCCTCCACCACCACCACCACCACAGCCTCCACCACCACCACCACAGCCTCCACCTCCATCACAACCGCCACAACTTGATCCGCAGCCACCTGCAATCGCTCCACACGATGATGCTCCACCACCACTCGAAATGAAAAGCGGCACGAAAACCATTGCGCATGAACTCATGTATTGTGATGTTTCTAAATTTTTTCGATCAATATTGTGACCATATTCGGATTTATAAGTCTTTTCCCATCGTTCAGCAGTTTTCTGATAAGCATCGCTCAAAATATTTGACTCTATTGCATCATTATGATCAAGAATAAAACCACATAGAGCTGTTGAAACAGATTGATACTGTGATGGATATCTCATATGTGTATGCCAGATCAAATCAATATCAAAAGTAGGTACGATCATGTGGTTTTTTTGAGCCAATTTCATAAACGATATATAATTTTGTACCAAATGTTCGAATTGTGAACGATCCATCTTTTTTAAATCGAATGAATACAGATAATGTCTTTGGAATTTTTCAAGAAAATCACGTTGACGAATCACGGCTTTTTTCAAATCAATTGATGGAACAAATAATAAATGATTACTTATTGATGAAAACGAGATCTTTGAATCACGATGGTTTTCAGGATTTTGTAGAAATTGACGAACTTTTTTATCAACAAGTTTACCGTCTGGAAGTTGTTTACTACAATCAGCATGATAATTTAAAGGATGAAGACGATGAACATGCCAAATCCATTCGATTTGTACCGGAAGTTTCAATTGTTGGCGTTTAGTTTTTATTTCCTGTCGAGCCATTCGGTTACAATAATCATTCACAAAGTGATTCAATGTCAGTCCTTCTTGTGTGATTTCTGGATGATCGATCACTTGACGAAGCAATAAAATGTGATCAACGAAGTCATGATACGAAATTCGAAATTTCTTTCCATCCTTGGTTCGAATTCTTGCGTTGAAATTCGGGATTGAACGCGACGGTGAACTACCCATTTCTTATCAATTCTTGTGTTGAATTATTTCGGTATAATTTGGAACAAAAAAGTTCACGCGTTTTATAAGCTGCGTAATTGATCACATGAAAACGTCATAGTAAACAAAACAGAGTAGGGGACGTTATAAAAAAAAAAATTTAAATGGATAAAGAATTCTTTCTTCTGCCATAGTCAATCAACGTTTGCTTTTCGCGAGATGTTTTTAATGAGTCATTATTTTTTTTTATTCTTATTCTGCTACCTGTGACGCAAAAGCATGCTAAGAAAAATGAAATATAACGAGAAAGCAAAAAAAACACAAGCAGCAACGGTGAGGCAATAATAATGAATCATTTTATGAGAGTAAATAATGTCTTTTATAGGGTAATTGAAGTCGTTTGAAAAAATCGGATTTGTTGTTTGTATCGAGTGCAAGAGCAAAGATGTAACAAAAAACACGATTGGATATGATTTGCCACGTATAAACGTGAGGGAGAGCATCTATAGAAAATCATTAAGCACCAAGAGAGAGCTACTATCATGTGACATAAGATAGCAAACGCTAGTGCCAAACTCTAAGCGTTTTCCAAACATAAAAGTATGGTATACTACTATGAAAGTGAGTATCGGTTATGTGAGAGTGACTTTTCAGTGAAAATTAGCGTTTTGATCAATTTTCTTTCAGGGAACTAGATGTTTATGAATTGGTTTTGTAACTCAAAGAGGATTTTTGCTGATCAATTGTGAAAGACTAGGTTGACCTCTAGAATATCCCTGAAGAAAAAATAAACAAATATTCTTAGGTCCGAGTAAAGTATTCCTAAATTTTCAAATATAGATAAAATGAATAAGTGCCACAAAACAACCTACACGAATATCTTCCGTTCCATTTTTTTTTACATGCAGCCTAATTCTCATCCTGTTTCGTACACTAGACTGAAATCAATTTTTTTCTCTCTACAGCCAACAGATTTCTCACTCTTCAATGTTGTCTCTTGAAGCTGTTTGAGGAAAAACAGAAGTTTAATCATTCACTCTTGCTACACACATTAATATATTAGAAGTAATACAACTGGTCTGTTCATAGATAAACAGGAAAATCTTCATAAATACAAAATTTTCGAGTAGTAAAACAATACTGTGCAGAAAAACTAGTTTTAATGACCAATCGGACACCTTTTTTCTGTTTAGAACACTCATCTTCTTGGGTTCACCAAATGGAGACGAAAATGGGTTGGAGAGTAAATGAAAGTTTTAGGGCGAGAGCGGATGTCTTATTGTTATTATTGAGCGAATAAAATGTTAACTTTCTAACGTCCAAGTCAGAAAGGAGGCGTCCTGCAATATTTGCATCCCTGTATTCATCTTGTAAGACGCATTGTGATCGTCGAAAAACAATTATAATATAACTGCCTGCGTCTTATTGCAGAATGAAAATATGAAAAGAGAAAGCACTGTTTCTTTAATAGAAAAAGAATAGTTGTAATAAAAAAACAAAATACTTGATACTCAAAGTTTGAAAAGCTTCTATGTAACAACAAGACCCACAGCAATTAGATGTAGACATTACTTTTTTCTTTATCTTGTTGAACTCTAACGATAACATGCTAGCAACTGTTACTATCGTAAAAGTGGGACGGCATCAAAACGAACTAATCGAAGAAAGAAAAAAAAAAGTTATTTCTCGCTCGCCGAAAAAAAGTATTTTTCGCATCACATCATCACTAATAACGAGAAAAAGAACCAAAAAAAGCGATGGTGCTAATGACAAGTAGTAGTGGGATCAATTTAGCTCTGTCAAAGTTTAGCTCAGTTGGAAAAGTGAGTGTGGGTGTGGATGTGGTGTCGGTGTTACGGCAAGAGAATCACCCACACCCACACTCCTTTAAGATGACGTAACATTTTTTCATTCCATTATTCTCTTATTCTTTCTATGTTCTATGTATGTCAGTTAAAATTTGAAATTATTCAAATAGAAATATTCGCCAACGAAGGCTAATATGGTGAAGTCAACTACAACTTCTCGCCTTAATTAAAACACAATACGGACCATTATAGACTGAAAAAATACGATGGACACTATCCTAAATAAATCTGAAAGAAATATAATTTCTTGAAAGTAATCACGATTGTGTTATTAAATATTCAATTCATATTATGAATAAAGTTCTATCCCTTCTTATTCTTACAGTCTCTTCAATGAAAATTGTATGGATTAAGAAAGATTTTCTTTTTAAAAATTAACCTCAATTCTTTGGCGCACGAGAATTGAAGGGAAAACAAATTGAATATAAAAATGGCTGTTCATGTTTTATTTAAGACTATCTGGATTAACACTTAGTTTCTTAGCTCTTAATTTCGCTTCTTCCGTTTTTGATGTTACCACTGGAATCAAAAGTACAGATATAATTTGAATATCTGCTGTATTTGTCAAACGCCATTCTATTGCGTTGATATCATCACCTTCACGAGCAACATACGTCGGTACAGTGCTTTTATAAGTCGTGAATGAATCTTTCTTTACAGTACATTCCAACACGGCTATAAGTCTTTCATCATCATGTGTAAATGTGACTGCATATGCTGGATCTGAACAATAGTGTATACTTGGTGTAATAAATATTCCATTTGAAAAATCTTCCACACCATAAGCCTGCAGTCCTCGAGCAATATGATTACTTGGTGGACAAATACGTAATCCATTGGAAACTACCGTACTTGGCATAACGAGTCCATCCATAAGAATTGATTCTATAGCTTTTATATTTGTTCCATGATAAGCAATATGAGGAAAGACATCTTTATTGTGTTCACAAATTTTTAAACAGTAACAAGAAACAGGTTTATCACGACTGTGAAATAGTTTTCCAACAGCAGCCGGAATAAACATATCTGGCATAAGAGTTAATTGAGAAGGAATAATATTCTCATGACGAATAAAAGCATGTATTGTTTCACCTATCGAAATTAGACGAGTATGTCCTGTCCTATAAGAAAACCAATAAGATGATAATGGTGCCAAATTATATAGTCGAGCATTTGGTTCACCAGCAAGTGATACTGTTGGCATATCTTTTAACTTATATCTGTTACCATATCTTGTTTGAAAAAGACAAGCACATCCAGGCAAACTGATATTATCAATATCTGGTGGCAATATATATTCAACATCAATTATAACATCTTGATCCACACAATTATTCGGAAAAGTAAACGACAAATTTTTAATAGTAAACGTTTGCTTTTCATCTGATGGACAGATCTTCATTGTTAATTTTGGACAGTTTGGCTGAAATTCATTTGCATCGCTAACAGGAAGTTCATCACGAAGAACATGACCAGCTTTCATATAACGTGCTCTTTCATGTGCTGTTATACATATTGGTAATTGAACAAATCTCGATGTTCCATATCGAGCACGATATACAGCTGATAGAACTGTTGTGTTGTCATCATCAAAATTTAATGGACGTCGAGCTATAGAAAAACATGAAAAGTTAGGTCGCATTGAATCAGGTATCGCTTTTACAAGATCGTTATATGTAGCATTGCAATGTATTTGTAGTTTTGCTAATGGTTCTTTACCAGATTTAGCACCATCGCCATACAAATGTACAGCAAGTAGTTTATTTTCTTTCAAATTAGTTCGATATTGTTCTAAATGTCGTTTCATATCATCCGTACGCGCATCATCAAATGCAAACGAACCATACTTATTTTTTATATTTATGTCAGCTCCATGTGATAATAATAAGTCAACTGTTGAAATCTGTCCATAATAGACAGCAGCATGTAATGATGTACTTTCCGATTTAGTTAAAAGTTTTTTATTAATATCAGCTCCTTTTTTTAAGAGCCATTCTGCAATCAATGTTCGACCATAACGGCATGCAACATAAAGTATATTTGTGCCATCATCATTAACTGTATCTGGTGATTTATCACCAAAATAATATTCAAACCACCAATCGATACCATCAGCAGCCATTTCAAACATATCACGTTTGCGCATCGATTCAAATATATCCTTAATCTTGTTTTCATGAAAAGAACCTTCTTCTTCAGCTTTCATACACCATTTATTAAGTAAAAGTGGATTAGCACCTCGATCAAGAAGATATTTAACAACTGAATCATGTCCACCATAGGCAGCGAGATGCAAAGCGGAATTTGAATTAATATCGACAATATCTAGATTGGCTGAATGTTCTTCGACTAACCAACGAACCAAATCCATATAACCTTTTTTGCCAGCACAATGAAGTATTGTTTGTCGTTGTGCATAATATTGTTCATCAACATGATATTTTGTACTATCAAAATTTGCTTTTAACCAATCCAGTTGA